ATATATATAAAAATTTAACCACAGTTCTGGGCCCATTAAAACATCAAGAAAACCCCTAAAGGTTAAGATTTCCAGCTGATTTGGAGGGTGGGACAAAAAATGAATGTCAAAAGCATTTCTCCTTAATTTAGACCAACTAAAATCTTAAGAGGTACCCTAGACCGAAACATCACTCATGCACATTAAATGTACTAATAGGCTGATATGCAATGCCAGTGGATGAGAGGCAAATTATATGATGCAACAGCATTTAAAAACTTCCTTTTAATGTATTCAATTTGAACATTTTAAATAATGCAACATAGTATTTTGATATTACAGTATTAACATAGTGCTTGATTAAAGATCTGCAAATCTTCATAGTAACACATTAAGTTAAAAAAATTACCTCAGAAGGCAAATATGAAGACGAAAGGAGAATATTTTAATACAGTAATCTGTGCCATACTGACAACTGAGGACGAATACAGCTGAGGATAGTTGACTAAGTAGTAAGAGCTTAATTTTAGTGGTTTAAGAAAAGTTTAGAAAGATTAAAAATTACAACTACTTTAAAATTTAAGGATTACATATAAGTACACTTGGTGGCCTTCTGGCCAAACAATAAGGTGTACAGAAATTTATTCATACAGTGTTAATTCACAGTCCTGATAACTGAATGGCTTGCATAAGAAAGGTATGGCTAGATGTTTCTCACTGGCTGGAAGCAGACATTATGTACGTAATCTTTTTAAATGCCAAAATACTGAACTTCCACCCTTTGTAATGGATAACCGCACACAAAAAAAACAGATATTAGCACTCTAACAAAGAAGTCGAGGTGTTGGTGATCAGCTGGTATAAAGCATATTATTTTGCTTACCTATTAAACAAAACAAAACTACCCACACTTGTCTTTCACAGTACATTAGTAATTCAGATCCATCATCCTGCATAAAGGCTTTTTTTTTTTTTTTTCTGAAATAAGTCTCCTGACCTTTTCTAATGGCTATTTAATAATTTTCTATTTGAGTGTGAACTTATATATGAAAGGAAGGAAAAAAAATCTTACCAGTAAATCCTGTATCTTTAGGAACTACTCCCTGATTCCCATATAAAGAATTGTATGCTGGGTTCATTCCTTATGGCTCCATATAAAAGAAACTGCCAGGGAATCATTTTTAAAAAATCTATTTTCAAACTGAGGTGTGGTTACTAAAGGCTAGTAATTTTAAACAACTGAGAATATAGCTTTTATTTTTAAAAGTCACTATTGTTCTAAGCATATAAAAAAGGATACTCTTTTTATAGAAATTCCAAATAAGCATCTTTTCCTTCAAATCTCAGACAAGTTTTTTTTAAAGTACAGAATAAAACATGCCAACATAATCCTTAGTGTGTTAGCATAATTTAAACATGAACGCAGAGATGTGATCTTTAAATTTTAATTTCAAAATATGCTGACCACTGGGCTTGCATAATTTTGAAGAAATGATTGATAAATCTTTGTCACCAATTGTTTTCTTTATAGAAAAAAAGATTTGTTAATGTTTTAATATACACAATTTGAAGGTTATATTGTTCATAAGAAAGTGATATTTAAGCTAAACACATAGTATTTACAAAACATGTTTCAGTAAAAAATAAAATAAAACATACCGAATTACTGCTTTGTAAATACAATTGATTTTATCCTTGTAGAGAATTAGTGAACAAATCTGGAATTTTGCTAGACTATTTCCAAGAAAGATAGGTAGACTTGGCGACTGTGAATTCAAGTCAGCAACACAGGGAGGAGGCTAACTTGGACTCCTGTGAGCAGCACTGTAGAAAGGATTTTTCAAGGGGTAAAGCTGCATAGAAGCAGTTATCTTGGCATGTGCAAAGGAGAAGGGGGAAAGCTGTATGGAAGGAAGGGGTGAATTAAAGTCCCTAAAATTCAAGTCCCTTCTTTAGGGAGGTGAGAACCTCCTTGGCATATGTCCTGCCTTAATCTGAACTGTGTTATAGAAAAGTACAGACTCTGGTGTTTGGGACTGTTATCTCCAAACCAAGAAAATTAAATAAATAAAAAGGCAAAGGGGAAACAAACAGGTTAAGTTTAGAAAATGGTTTTTAACTAGTGAAGTAGAGTCTGAATACCAGAATTCACTGAGAATCTATTTACACCACAGTCTGATTGCACACACACACCCATACGTATGCATACTCTCACACACACTCCCCATCTTTAAAATAAAAAGTCAAACAATCAAGAGTGACTGCTCTTAAAATAATTTGTAAAATGCCTAGAGCTGAGCTAAATTTCAACCTTATAGCAGAGATCCTGAAGATAATTTTCATAATTAATAATATCCCCATGCCTAGATGTGCCACTGTTAAAACTGAAAAAAAATTTAAGCATGTAACATTAAACACCAAAATTAGTCTAAGCATTCA